ATTCAATACTTACTAGATCATGAAAGAGTAGATAATATCAGGGGTGATAGTGATAAAGGATTTCAGGCAACTATGACTCATTATTTCCCACAAATTAATTTTTACTTTTCATCCTCTCCATATACGTTTCATAATAAAATAGTTGATGCGGTAATGAGAACTCTTAGAGATGCGTTAGGGGTTAACGGTCAGATATACTGGGATGGAAATCATGACTCCATCATACAACAGTTAGTATATTATTATAATAATACATGGCATAGAACTATAAACATGAAACCGGTGGAAATGAAAAATGATATTTCAAAAGAATGGGAATATATTAGAAAGCAAATGGAAAGGTTGAATGATGTTAAACGTGAACAAATTAATTCGGGGCTCATGAATTTTAAACAAGGGGATAAAGTTTTGATTCATCTCGATTATGGAAAAACTGATAAATCAATGACAAAAAGAAGACGAAGATTTGACACAATAGCTGAATTTGTTAGATATATTAACGGCAATGCATTAGTTGAAGTTGACAATAAATTAATAGAAATTCCGATTTATTTTATTACTCCATTATATTTAAATAATATTTAATTTTTTTTATTTCGTAAGAAATGAGTGACAACGAAGCAGTCAAGAGTCCAGACGATGAATATAAAAAGAAACTAAACAGAATTAAATCAAAAATATGCTATTACAAAAAGAAGCCACAATGCGGTGAGGTTGAAAACGATAAAGAAATAATCGAAAAATTAGAAACTTACCGTTCAATCCTTAAACTAAGTGAAGCAAAAATAAAAGAATTTAATAGAATAAATAAATTGATTGGAAGAGATGAATTTTTAAACTCAATCCAAAATTAATTTTTATTTTTCTTTGACAACATCTCTCTTTCCATCATTACTGCATAACCACATTTTCTCAGTTTTAGTGGTTTGTTATTTTTAGCAAGTTCTCGCAGCATTTTTATCGTTTCCTCCCTTGTTATGATTCGTGGTAAATTTTGAGCTTGCGGGGTATTCATTTATATAAAAATAAAATTTTGTTATCAGTTATTTTATCGTTAATGGTTTTCAGGTTATTCAATAATTAATTCAAATCATAACACCATGTTACCATGTGCTCCCAGGTCATTCAACTTCTCTGAAAAAATGAGACAACATGACATTTTGACAACAACATGGAAAATGATTTGTCATGACTTCATCGTAATGAGTGTAAATGACCCAAAAATAATGTTTAGGTGAAGAAGTGAGATCTCACCTCTTTTCTCACCTCTTGCTTTGTAGAACGAAGAGCATTCATTATACTTTGCATTTGGTACATGTCATCTTTGACCGAACGAATGAGGCGAAGTTGTTTGTTATACTGTATGTACTCGTATTCTTCATTAATGGCTTCATGAACGATAGTAGTTGTTGTGTTCTCTGATGTTGACATTACTGTCTTTACATACAAAATAAATAAAACTAACTTTATTTTCTGACTTTCACAAAAGACAAAAATAAACGCTTTACATGTATTTTTCAGCAACTTCGTCAAATAATTTTATAGCTTTATCTATCTCATCTACTTCAAACGTTTCTTTACCTTTCGTGGGAGCACCATACATTTTCTCAAAAACTTCAAGCAGTTCTGTTTCAGCAGCTCTCATATCATTAACAAACACAACCTTGACTCTATTGACTGTACTGTCATATCTTTGAGTTATATTATATGTCCTTCCTATCTTATATCTTTTTGTGTTGAAGTCCTTCGGTTTCTGAACGATGTAAAGTAAGCCTTCACTGCAACGTTCAGTATCGAATGAACCATATGTTATGAAGTTATATCCAACAACTGGGTCTAACCATAACAAAACTATTGGTATAAGACTTTTGTCTATAAGATATGCTCTTGTTCCATGAAATGCTACTGATATCATAAGCTCAGGATTTCTTGTCAAAATTTTCTGAGTTGAAGCATTTCTAACCCAGTCGTTTGTTTTCTTTTCAGATGGAGATATAATGTCTGACAAAGAATATTTGTTGTATTTCTTTGAGTATCTTACGTTTAAATCACCTATTCTAACCACTTTGGTGTCATCGTCTATCTTTCTAACTGTTTCAAACTCAATGTTTGTCATTACTGTCTTTACATACAAAATAAAAAAGATATAAAAATAAAATTAGCGTTATTTTTCTAACTAATGAATTATTTTTGAAGAACTGATAGGTGTCACCAGTCACCAGGTCACCAGGTAATTTAACTTTTCTGAAAAATGTGACAACATGACATTTTGACAACAACATGAATTTTTCAACATAGTGGGATTAATGAGGAAGGCATTTATTCATTATTTTTGAAGAACTGAAGGTGTCACTATGTCACTATGTGTCACTCGGTAATTTAACTTCTCTGAAAAATAGTGACAACATGACATTTTGACAACATGACATTTTGACAACATAGTGGGATTAATGAGGAAGGCATTTATTCATTATTTTTGAAGAACTGAAGGTGTCACTATGTCACTATGTGTCACTCGGTAATTTAACTTCTCTGAAAAATAGTGACAACATGACATTTTGACAACATAGTGGGATTAATGAGGAAGGCATTTATTCATTATTTTTGAAGAACTGAAGGTGTCACTATGTCACTATGTGTCACTCGGTAATTTAACTTCTCTGAAAAATAGTGACAACATGACATTTTGACAACATGACATTTTGACAACATAGTGGGATTAATGCAAAAATAAAGTTTATGTTAGCATGTTAGATCTCACCCGTTTTCTAACCACTTTTCTAACATCGAAGAAAACTATTTACAAGCGTTTTACATGGTATATGTTGCGATGGTTCATGACTTTAAACAGTTTTGTAGCTTCTATTTCTTCACGAAGGATATCAAAAATTTTAACTATGCCGAAGGTTTCTTTATATTTCTTCTTGACATCAGATAATAGGAAATCGTCAGCAGTTGGATAGTTTTTGTTCAGAAATGTCAACATATCCATTTTATCTTCTGCTGGTTTCTCTACTTCTTTCTTTAAGTCAGCATAGTCGTTTCTCATACGTTCTATCTCTTTGACGGAGTAGTTATATTTCCTCATTGCTGCTTTACATTTTGAACATTGCGGATTCATTTTTGCGTTATACATTGAAATAAAACCAGCTAGAACAACTAAGGCGTCAATGGTTTTCTTTAACTCAAAAGCTGCTGGTTTTAACTGTTCATGCCATACCTTACCTCTTCTATCTTTATCTCTTATTTCCCAAACACATTCAGCAACTAATGAAACAAAGTTGTCGTATGTCTTAAACTCCCCAGATTTATATATGTCAGAGATGTTCTTATATACCATGTCGCAATCTTTGTCCATAACTTTATGGTTGCAATGATATCCTAGAAACTCATAGTTTACTTTACGTATGAACTTCTTTATTTCTACTGAGTCAGTTGGTTTCACTTCTATTTCATCGAATTCATGAATAGTGAGCTTTTGTTGTTGGATTTCAGGCAATTTGGGTAAATGGTCAATAATGTCCTGCATGTCATAAAGATACTGTTCATTTGTTTCATCTTTCGCACTACAGTCTAAATTACTTGTTAAAAGTTCTTGCTTAATTCTTTGTATTTCTGTCTCAAAAGTATATGAAGAAGGAATGAAGCTTTTCATCTCTACTAACATAGATGTTGGATTCATAACTAAAGAGTTTGGTGAAGTTGTTGTTTGAAGTGTTGTAGAACCTATTGTTGAAATCATATCTTTACATACAAGATAAAAATTTTTTCTTTGAAAAAAATTAGCGTTATTTTTCTTTCATAAGGAAATGTCAAAAATTCATGATTTTCGAGAGTTTTAGACCATGTTAGAAAAGTGGTTAGAAAACGGGTGAGATCTAACATGCTAACATAAACATGATTTTTGTTCATGGACTTCGTCCTCGCCGCTTCGGTCTGAAAGACCTCAGGACTCAAAGAGTCCGTTTGCGTCTTTATGACAAAAATAAATGGTACCATTAATAATATCATGACTGTTCTCATTCATGTCTGATTTACATCTAATGAAAAAGTTTAGAAGAATTTTCTTATTCTTTCTGGCTTATTTTTGTCTTTCCAGTACTCCCGCTCTAATGGTCCCAGATGTGTTGTCATTGACTCTCTCAAGTTCTTAGATGGTATAACATCTTCAACGCCTCCTTCATATCTTACTTTATAAGTGTCATCGTTTATGTTATAGCCAAGTATTTCAATAACCACTCCTCGCTTTGCTTCGTCAATGGTTTCAGCAAGTTTGCCATTCCTACTTTCAACTAATTTATGTCGAGGGTAAAACGCAATAGAGTCGTCAGCAGCTTCATTGAACTCTATACCATGCGTAAACTGTCATGTAAGGTGGCATGTATTCTTTACCTTGTCCCGTTGTTTGTGTATATCCTGAAACGAAATGTGTATGGTTTCCTTCTCCCTGAGTGTCACTCCAGTAACAATTTATAGCAAACTTAACGTCGTCTTTAACATCATATCCTTTACCTTTTGTCATTCCTGACCAATCCCAATATCTATGCTTATGCCAACCCGCTTGAGATGTACTTAAATCTATGTAGTGACTGTGTGCAGGTAAATTTTCACCTGTAATCGTTTTACTTCCACCCATTTCCTTTGAAGAGTTAGCACAATACAAAAACTTGTCGACTATTTGTTCCCATGCACCAACACCAAACATTACTTGAGGACCTCTTGCATCCATAGACGTATAAATAGAACCTACTGGGTTCATTAAATCAAACATATGAGATAATATAGGATTGTCTATTTTGAACTTAAAATATAGTGCAACTATTTCAGGTTTCTTCTGGTTTGTGTCGGAATATTTTTTATAATATAATCTTATGTTTTCAGGGTAGGTAAAATCTTGACTATAATATTTATTTTTGTCATCTATATAATAATATACTATTCTCGTTTTTTCTATTGCATTATATCTTTTATATCTATAATAATCTAAATATAATGTTAACTTTTGTTCATCTACATGTGGTGTTCTGACGTCATCTCCATAGTCATAATAATATGGTACTGGAGCTGTGCGAGGCAATGTCATATCTGTCATTTCATAAACTCTTAAATATTTCTTTTGTTCATCTCCATATAAGTTTAAGTAACAGTTGTTGTCTAATGGAACTTTAACTTGTGTACCATCATTCTTTATATAGCTTACATACATTTCATTGTTATTTTTCGGAATGAGTTTCCACCGCATACCATTTCTTAAGGACTGTACAAACTGCCATCTAAAATATTTATTTTCTTCATTGACAGAAAAGTCACCAACAATAGTTTCAATATTTTTAGTTGTTCCTATCAAACTTTGGTATATTCCATTAACATATTCATTATCTGCCTTCTTCTCTAACTCACTGTTGACATATTCCTTATCTGCTTTAAGGTCTAAACATCCTGAAACCCATCCTGTATCAGCTTTAGTTTTTAAAATCTTTGATGTCCTTTCATGATACCATTCAACCCTTTCTTTAATTTCATTATCTTTTTCATTAACATATTCCTTATCCGCTTTAAGGTCTAACTCACTAGCCACATATTCCTTATCTACCTTCTTCTCTAACTCACTGTTGACATATTCCTTATCTGCTTTCTTCATTAACTCACTAGCCACATATTCCTTATCTACTTTCTTCATTATGTCATTTAGGAAACCTTTTATGAATTCCTCATTTAAATTAAATCTTCCAATCTTCAAAACTTTAGGAAATGCATTTAATGCGTAATATCTTTGTTCTTCTGGTGGAATTGATGTTATATCATCCGTTATTCCTTTAATTTTTGAATTCATAAATAAAATTTCTTTTATATTTGATATCACTGCACCACCTTTGCAAACGAATTCGAAACGCTCATTTTTCAATACTATCTCCAAATCTCCATATTTCAACCTTTGCGTTTGTTCTGCCGTCTTTGAATTATATGCATATATGGCGTATGTAATGGTCTGAAGGACCTGGGTGCTTTGTGCCTTAAGTTGCTGTGGTTGCTGTTGTTTAATCATTTATTATGATTTAAAAATATTTAATCCGTTATCTCATCAGCTATTTTTTTTTGAAATTGCCATAATATTTCATTCATGAATTCTAAATCACAATCAAATAGGTCAGTTATTCTAAATTTAATATTTGATAAATCTTTTGAATGAAGAATAAATGAATTCCCGGATAATTGAAACGGATATGATAAAGAAAATGTGTTTAAGTTGATGGATAAAATGTTTTGTATTGATGGGTAAGAGTTAGGGTCTAATGTTTGATGTGAAAATCTCATTGGGGTATTAACTTTATCACATTTGATTAAAATGAAATTGGAACCAGTGTCAGAATACAAAACATCCCCAACATCTTTTTCAAAATTTAATATCCCCAACAATGAACGAAGATGAGGAGTACAAAATTTAATTTTCAGCGGGAATTTAATAAGGTTATTTATTTCATCAAGTTCAAAAAGTTTATCGGGTTTTGATTTAAAATTTTCTTCATACCATACGATAAATGATTCATTTAAATAACTTAAAATCATGTTAATATCCCATTTCGCTATCACATTATTTATATACATATCATACGTTTTTTCAAGGTCATCTTTAATAAATGATATATAATCTGAAGGGTCTAAAAGAATGGGATTAAATTTACCACTCACAGAAACGAGAGTAACATTATAAATTCCGCTAACTGTTAAATTTAATTCACAACTATTATTCGAAATAATATTGATAATTGACATTTTTATTACGATTAAAAATATGGTAAAGCGTTATTTTCCAGTGATAAATAAAACTAGAATAAGATTACCTCAAGAATTCATAAATTCAACGAATAAGAAATTCATTCATGTTATAAATTTTAGTGTTTTCAGAAAATACGAGTCAATGTCATATTCATCAACAGGTTATATTTCACTTCATTCAAATTTAGTTCAATCAAACCCATATAATGACCATTTCATCAGATTTTTCAGATGGTATTAAAAATGTAATTGATAGATTAAAATATGAACAGATTGACAATATCGAATTTTTTGGAATTTTGGTTTAAAATATCCTGATGGAAAAAAGATTGAAGTTAAAGATAAAGCTGATACTATAACAAAAACAATTACAATGACCGATCCGGATAGTGGGAAACAAAAAGAAATAAAACAAACGATAGAAACTGGTGAAAGGTCAATTATTATTGATTATGATTCAAAGGATTATTATTCGATAATGTTAATGCTTGAATATTAAATAGCCTTAACAAAGAATTTTTCAAGTGATATTTTATATTCATCAACTATTTTATTATAAATATTATTATATGTTAAATGAAGTTCAGTTGTTGTTCCATTCTTTGATATCTTAATTGTGCTAATATCCTTTATAGGATTTATTTTTGCAACTGTTCCACAGCATGAAACCTCATCATCTATGAAAAATTGAATCTTAACGTCTGAATCTTGAACATCACAAAGAATGGCGATAATGTGAATTAATGATTCATAAGGTAAAATAATTAAACCAGATTGGTCAATTAAATTTATTATTGAATCATAATTATCAGTTATTATATCACGGTAAATTTTCATTAATTCAGAATTAATGTCTATTTTATATGGGTTCTCGATGTTTGATGAAAGAGGTGGGGGGTATGTTGGATATGTGGGGATTTCAACGGGTTCTTTACCGGGTTCAGATAAAATGATTGGGTCTTCATCTTCTTTATTTTGCTCCTCCTCTTTCTTTGGTAAGTCACGAGTTAATAAATTTGGTTGAGTTGCTGACCTTGTTAATTCAGGACTAACATTAACTTTAACATTTTGAATAATTCGTGATTTATCATCATTTACGTTATAACCAACCGTAATCTCTGCTTTTGCGTTAGTGTTCTTTTGACTAGTGAAACGTCTTCTCATTTATAATTGAATAAAAAAAAGAAAAATATATTTAAAGTTTTATTTAGTTGTTACGGTAATATCCCAAGGTTCATCCTTGTTTGCTTATACTTTCTTTGTAACTGCACCAATTATGTTATTGATAATGATTTGAGTTTCTCCCAGTCTTATTTTATCATTTACAATATCTTTAATCATTTCATTACATGCATTCTTATAATCAACTGATTTCTCAAATTTTCTTTTATCTGATTCCTTAACTAAATCATAAGTTAAACCTCGTTGAGAATAAAGTGGTTTCTTTATCAATTCCTTGAACGCTTCTGAAAGTGAAGATGAAGAAATTCTTGCCACTTGAATTGGTTTAAATTCTGCTTTCATTGCTTCTTTCTGTTCATTGAACACCGGATCGAATAAAGCAACTTTAAAGAATTTCTTAGCTGGAATTTCGGGTCTAATATTTGCATATTGACCATCAAACTGGTTAGAATATCGTGGTAATCCATCCGGTCCCTCTTCAATAGCATTTAATTCTTCATTGAAATGAGAATATGGATTATAACGGTATGAATTAATTGGACCATTTTCACCTTCTCCAATGTATTGTTTAACAGCTTTTCCATTTTCATCAAATTGCATAGGATAACGTTCATTATATGCTTTACGTTTAGGATAATCAGATATAGTTAATTTATAACCATTTATGACTTTAATATTACCTTGACCATCAGTAACGAAAACTTCATTTATACCATCGGGTTTTCCATTTGGACCCGTAATGTCTGCTTCGTGTGCTTCCCAATTTGGACCTTGACGTTTGGCATATGCTTGAGCTTCTGGTAATGTTAAAACGTTTCTCATTTGTTTAACATCCTTTTGAAGACCGGCAACAATGTGGACTAATTCTTTCATTCCGTCTGGAACTTTCATAGTTCTATTATATGCACCCTTTTTGTTTGTTCCTTGTTTTAATGGAACCTGTAGAAGATTTGCAATTTCTGTCATGTTTAATTATAAATAAAAAATAAAAATTAATTATAAAAAGTTAATCAAATTTAACACCTCCTTTATTTAAATCAACTATTATTTTTCCATGTTCACCTAATTGTTGATATTGTGTGTAAAGTTCATTAATGCTCATTGGTAAATTCACTTGATAAAGCATAACGTTCAACTGTTGACGACTAAAACCACTGAAAATGAAAAGGGTGGACAGGTTTGATTTAATGTTTGTGCTTAATGCTTTAAAGTATTGAACAGCCATAAAGAATGAACATTGAATATGTCGACATTGAGTTAATAATTGATTAAAATATGATTTCTCATTAGTTATTAGTTTTGATTTCACGCATCATCTAGAAAAATTAGTGAATGCAAAAATTCTTTATCAAAATTTGAAATAGAAAGTGTTTCAAATAATTCATCCCGTTGTTTATCAATAATTTATCCTCTAATCCTCTTGCTTCTTGATTTATTATAAATTCTTTATACATTAAAAAGTTTTTTAAATAATCTTCTGCTTCTTCTTGTGATAAATAAATAATTGGAATTTTGATTAAATGCTTTAAAGATTCAAATGTATCATCTGAAGGTGAACCTGAACGGTTGATATAATTAACACATGTGAATAGGGGGAAGTGTTAGCAATAATGATAATTTGTTTTAATATCGTTAATGTTTTACCTTTATTTTGTTTACCAATTGCTGCAGTGATTGAATTTAAGTAACATTCAGAATATGGAATTTTCATTAATTTTTCCTTAGATAGAGCATTTCTATTATCACTCAATGCTTCATTAATCATATCATCTACGTATGTATTATATACTCCTGCTAATTCTTCATAAGGGGTGGATGAATTTAAATCCATTTAATCAAAAATAAATTTATAATTTTAAACATTTCTATTCATCAATATTTCATCATATGAACTTCTATACTGTGGTGGTTACCTGTTGGATGATATTTCAAACCTTCATCCGGTGTCCATGTCCAATATGTAGTCCTAGTAAACAAACCTGAGGAGGATTTGTCACCTTTGAACAGTAAGTGTCATTTTCACCCTGAATGATTGGATAAGCTTTCACTTGTACTGTAACTTGTGAGTTGAAAGTTTCTAATCCATCAAAGAATATACCCGCTCCATCACTTTGAACTGGAATAGTGCATAAGAATGAAGTTTGGTCTTTCCATGTTCTAGCTAATGGCGTGCCATCATCATGCATTCAGTGGTCTAGTTAATGAGTCCTCGTATTCTTCTGTGCATTCATTCACTCCATCTAAATCAGAAGCTTGAAGCATACGTGTAAAGAATATGTTCACCCACTGTGGTCATCGCTTGATCGGGGAAGTTTCTGGAATCTATAGTGACCTGAAGACCTCGAAGCATTGGATTTTCTAAAACTGTTCTTTGCATTGCATTCTTCGGAAATGTTAACACAACATCTGTAACATTATGAAGAGCGTATGAGAAATCTGAGCTAATACCTTCAGGAGTGATGCAACCTCCATTTAGTGAAACGAACGTCAATATGTTGAGCTGGAATCATGAATGGATCTTCCTTACTGAATAAACGTGGGCTTTAACTGATTCTTCAATTAAACCGTATCCTGGTGTAATGCATTTATCCTCTAAAACTTCCATCTTTGTGCATGAAATAATAACGTCCTCAACTGTTGCGTCAGCAGATGTAGCGGCTAAGCTTGTAATTAATTTGGTAGGAAGTCCGATTTGTTGGAATTTGCGATCATATTTATAAACATGATTTCATAATCTTTTCATAATTTTCATCAGTTATCTTTTTCATAAACGTAATTTTGTAAATCAGCAACTCTTAACGGGTCAACCTGACAAAATACTAAAGTATCCCTGAAAACATAATATTTAAGAATGATATCACCAAATGATTTAGGATAATCATCGAACGCCTGAAATGCTAACAAATCATTTACTGGAATAATCATATCAAAAGTGACATCAACTTCTTCATTTGCTTTCTTGAAAACTTCTGAAGGGTCAATATATTTCCACATACTGAGTTATCATATTTTTGAACATTATTATATAACGAATGAACAAACTTTTTTAACTTTCCTTTCTGATTTCGGTTTATATGTTGCAAATGCGAAAGATTCACGGGGCACAATCCATCTGAAGATAACCAGCATCACCTCTTTCGGTTTCTACTTCTAATTGTTTAAAGCTTTGATTTGATGATTTGTAACCAACGAATAAACGCATGCATTTAAAAGCGGCATCACATGTGAAAGCTTTATTTGAAACTAGAGTTACTTAACTTTGCGTTAATATATGTGTCACCTAATTGGTTCACATCATGAGCCGGATTTGTAATTCTTAAATGAGTTTGTTTATCATCAAAATATGGAGTATCAGAGTCATAGCATGAACTTTCAAGTTCTCTATAATATCTTCTTACCGTCATTCTTTGCAAATATTTCATTTATCTTTCGAATGAATGAAACACATTTCCATTAATCGGTTTGGTTTTTTGGCACTAAATAGTTAGTCGTCATTTATTAATAATAAAAAATCAAAATTAAAAGATGGAAATGAATTTTTTAATTAATATTAAATCAGAAATGGCTGCAGGATTCTTTAAGAAACTGTGGGATAAAGTAAAAAGAGAGGTAAAGGAAACAATGAAGAAAGGAGCAAATTGGATTTTAAGAATAAAGAAGCAATTAGTGACGTTGCTGAATCAATAACACCAAAAGCTGCCCCAATAAGAGAAATATTAAATAAAGGAGAAAAAGTTTATCAAAGACTTCAACCGATACTAAGATAAAAATAATATTTATTTATTTTTCCACTATTTACCTCCTATTTTATTAAGTATTCCTTCAGCAATTCCACCAACTGCGTTACCTGCTTGTGCTCCCATCGCCGGATTACCTGCTTTAGCACCTAATACTCCACCTATGATAGTTCCTGCCGTTTTCGCTACTGGTGCCAAAAAGTTTGCAATGGGTTTAATAATCTTTTGATGAACCCAACCCGCAGCTTTCTTAATTCCATCCCATAATTTTTTAAAGAATCCTGCCGCCATTTCTGATTATTTCATTAAAATTAAATATATTTCATCACTTATATTCTAATTTTTATTTAATGATAAATGAAACCAATTTTAAAAATAAATGAAACAGAGGAGGAAGAAATAAATGAAAGTGAAAATGTTCAACAAAAAATAAACGTTGTTAAACCAATTACTGAAATAAAAAATTTTTCATCTGTTGAAGAATTTAATGACTATTATGCTAACAATAAAAAATTATTTGAAGAATTGACAACATGTAAATTGAATAAAATGTTTAAAGTTGATGGATTCAAAATTTCAAAAATAAAAGGAGTGGTTAGTTTGAAATCTATTCCTCAATCAAGAATCACCTCATTAATGAAAATAGATGATTTAACAAAAAGAATAGAAATTATTGAAGAGCGAATAAATCAAATTATTGATTTCATAAATCATGACTCGTTGAGCCCGGGTCCTTAAAGCCCATCACTGAGTTCAAGGTTATATTCATCAAATATTTCATTATTCAATGCAACTTCTGCTAGTTTATTTATTTTTTCAATACGATCATTTGAAAGTCTATCGTTTAATTTTTTCTGAAGTTTTTCATTTTCTAGTTCTGAAACTTTATTTGGATGATATGTAAATTCATGAAATTCTTTGGCCTCGGTTTTGATCATTAATTTACAAAGAACTTTTGTGGTTGGAATTCGTTTGAACCATTTATTAGTTATATTCGTTATATATTCAATATCTGGAATTAATTCCCAAATTTTTGCATTTTCAATTAATTTATTATCAAATGCAAAAGCAATGGGTTTAATATTATGTTTACCTTTATAATATAAACTTTCTACATAATCATCGAAATAAACATCTACTTGTTTAACATTTTCAAGAATTGGTGAAAGAGCATCCATTAATTGATTGACGGTTACGAATCTTGATCCACTCATTTTCTTACGAATTAAAAAAATAAATTATTCAAAAATGTCAGAAGAAAATATTTAAATAAATTATTTCTAATTTCTTTTACTCTCTCGTACATACTAGATTTGAAGAATTCAGAACTTTTACCATAATCTCCTAAATGTTTTCTTATCTTATTGGTTTTCCATTCATAATATGAAACTGTATAAACTTTATCTTTATCTTTGCATCTTTCATCACTTCCAATATGAGAAAGGGACAAACTATCCAGTGTCACTTTTCAAAGAAATAAAAAAAAATAATAAAGATGAAATAATAACATGAAATCTTATATAAATATAATTTTATCTAAATAGATAAATGAATTAAGCAGTTTACAGTTATATATATTTAATGAGAGACAATATCTAGTTCTATGGTAGAAATGACTCTTAGACTCAAATAAGTAACACAGATAGAAAGTACTCAGTATAACAATTATATATGTACACTCAAAGTTAGTCGCTGCTAAAATCTTAACCTTGCATTTCGGGAAAATCTGACAAATGGCTCTTAGACTCAAATAAGTAACACAGATAGAAAGTACTCAGTATAACAATTATATATGTACACTCAAAGTTAGTCGCTGCTAAAATCTTAACCTTGCATTTCGGGAAAATCTGACAAATGGCTCTTAGACTCAAATAAGTAACACAGATAGAAAGTACTCAGTATAACAATTATATATGTACACTCAAAGTTAGTCGCTGCTAAAATCTTAACCTTGCATTTCGGGAAAATCTGACAAATGGCTCTTAGACTCAAATAAGTAACACAGATAGAAAGTACTCAGTATAACAATTATATATGTACACTCAAAGTTAGTCGCTGCTAAAATCTTAACCTTGCATTTCGGGAAAATCTGACAAATGGCTCTTAGACTCAAATAAGTAACACAGATAGATTCAAATCTTGTTTATTGTACTTTAAAGGTACTTTTTAAAAAGAAACAATTAATGTAAAAGATTCAAATAATTTTTTATTATTATTTTATTAATTTTTTAAAATAAGGTTAATAAAAAAGTGACACTGGATAGTTTGTCCCACACTCCTTCCAATATATTTATATTTCAATTTTGATTTATTGGTTTCATATTCATTAACGTTTAATAATTCACAGTCTTCCTTTTTAAATAAATGTTTTATGTATTCAGGATTAACAATTCTATAATATTGCTTCCCTTTAAATCTTTGAATATAAACAGGAACACCATCCTCTAAAATTCGATAATCTATTTTATCTGGTTTTACTTGTTGGGTCATTTATGTAAGAATAAATAAATAAATTATTTTAAAATTAATGTGTTAAAAAAATGATACAAAATCGCTCGATATTGTATGAATTCTTACGTTTACAAAAAAAGTCACATAACCCATCCATATATACTACTGTTCTGACCCGATATAAGAACTTTTAAAAAAATAGTCCATTCAAAAAAAATTAAAAAGTTAAAAAGTCATATCAATATTTTTAGTGTATTCATCATTAATCCTTAGAATTTTTTGTAAACTTAACAAAGTTTATATCCACCACTAAAAAATGCCGAAATTTTGACAAAACGATACTACATGTCACAATGAATACTTCTGTATCAAAAGAAATTTGATTGAATACCTCAAAAAAACAATGAAGTAAAAGTGACGAAAATGTGACAACAATATAAATGTCTGCGGAACCAGAACAAGCTCCACGTATCGATCCACGCTTTGATAGCATCACAAGGAACCGTCTCCTTGCTCAATCTGCTACATTGACATTTTTCCTATCATGCGCATACGCCAAACTTGACTTAGGTGTAATTAAAGTCGAGCATACCCTTGGAGATGGACTCTACTGTGTAGATGCCGATGGATACGAGATCACCGATGAAGCTATCCAACAAATTTCAGAAAAAATGCATGAAATGATTGATAATGATCTTCCAATCGAAACACCAAAGATTGGTCGCCAAGAATTACTTCGTTTCTTCGATGAAGAATACAATCGCCAAGATAAGGTTGGTGTTTTGAAGGCTTGGCAAGATCATTTCATTCCATGCATCCAATTCGACGGTTTTATCGATTATATGATCGAAGACATGTGCACTGATAAGAGCAAGCTCAAAGTTTTCGAGATTCGCAAGTACGATGAAGGTCTTCTTCTCAGATGGCCAACAATCATGAATCCAGACTCAATCGCTCCATTTGTTGACCGTCCAGTCCTTCACTCAATCTTCAAGGAAGCAGAGGAATGGGCTAGAATTCTCAAAGCCGACAACATTACAGAAATCAACAAAGCAGTCTATACAAAGCGTATCGAGGAGCTTCGTTTGATCAACGAAGGCCTCCATGAAAAGAAGATTGCCACAATTGCTCAAAAACTATGCGCCGACTTCCAAGATAACAGATTAATCACAATCGCCGGTGGTTCCTCATCAAACAAGACTACATTCGCCAAGAGACTTTCCATCCAACTCCGTGTCAGCGGTTTCGAAGCTACAGTTATCGAAATGGATGACTATTTCCAAGATACAGAGAAAGTTCCAATGGATGAGAACGGCAAGCGCGATTTCGAACACATCTCCGCCATGAACGTCGATCTCCTTGCAGAGCGCGTCGCAATGCTCCTCCGCGGCGAAAAAATCCCAGTCAGAAAATTCAATTTCAAAGCCAGCAAAGGTGAAGACTCCACAACGAAGTTCCTTACACTCCCACCAAAGAACTTCTTGATCCTCGAAGGTATCCACGGTCTAAACCCAGAACTCTTACAACATTTCCAAAAAGTGACACCAATTTACGTATGCTGCCTTACACCAATGCACGTTGACTTGAACCACCGCTTGGCCACATCAGATCTTCGTCTTATCAGACGTACTATCCGTGACCATAACTACCGTGGCGTTTCTGCAAGAAGATCAGCTTCTATGTGGACATCCGTAAGATTCGGTGAAGAAAGAAATATCTTCCCTTACCACGAGAATGCTAAGATGTTCTTCAACTCAGCCCTCCTTTACGAACTCAACGTTTACGCTATTATGGGTAGAGTTATCTTATCTGAGGGAACATTCCCAGATCCAGGAGAGAATACTGAAAGCCCAGACTGCAAGGTTATCACTCGTGAGGTCGAGAGGCTCCTAAGCCTCCTCAAACTCTTCTACCCATACAACCCAGAGAATATCTCAAAGGTCTCAACGATCAGAGAGTTCATTGGAGGTTCAGACCTTTCATATTAATTCGATCATTACAAATAAAACATTTTTTTAAGTAATGCACTTAATTTTTCAAATTATTTTTTAAAAATTTCAAATTATCAATGATTCTTATTATAAACATTATGTCAAATTGGTAATTAGCTATGAACCCTTATGTTTTTCATATAAATGATCAAATTATTCAATATTTCATTCTGATGAATGATAAACTTTAAAATTTCTATGAAATTCGAATTATGTAGGACTTTTACAATTGGTTTATGTCTTCATGTGATTCCAAAAATATTTTGAAAATTAAAAAAATAATGATAATTTTCTTGAGATTTTTTATCATTTTTGAGTTTTTGAGAAAAATTTGGAGATTTTTCTGGAAAAGAAAAACTATAAAATAGATACGTTATAACCACTTTATTTAAAAATCTTATAAAAATAGTATAATTTTATTTTGGTTATAACTTTTCGCCAAAATTTTTTCAAAAATTTAAAATGCAAGGATGGGTTCCACGTGGAAATGAACAGGCTATGGCAAACAAATCAAAAATTATGTCCTCTCACTTATTCGGATCTGAACCAGAACCTCAGTATCAACCAAGACAAGCTCCTCCAGAACCTCAATATTCAAGTCCTCCAAAAGCACCTCAAACTTTCCCAGAATACGAATATATTCCAAGGCCTGTTCCAGAAGATGACGAAGATTATGCTCCAAAGCAAAATCATACAATTACGATTTTTTCGAGTGAAGATTATCCTGATTCTATTCCAAATTTACCTGATTTTGACCTTCCAATCGTAGAACCTCCAACTAGTTTTGATATTCCTGTTATAAGAACAAAGCCAAACTTTGTAGCAACAGGAAAAAGATTATCTCCAATCAAAAGAGACACGTTTCTACAGATGCGCGATGAATTAGAAAACGACACTTACGATAGAAAACCTCTCCAGACTAATATACCACAAGTTAAGAAGACAAAGAAGCTTAGAACAAAATAACGTATATTATCTTTTTCCTCAAATTCATTATCTTCGTTGACCATTCAATTACAAAAGTAATAAGTAACGAATTCGTTCATTTCAAAATGATATTTTCATCTTTATTTATCAAAATCCAACTCAAATCCAATCAGATATCAACGATATTTGTTTACAAGTAATTCAGTCCTCAAAGGAACAATGACTACTGTTGATTTTACCTCTTTATTTTAAATAATGAAGTAAAATATAAATCAATTTAAGAAACTTACATCTTAAGATATAAAAGCGCTTCATACTAGTTTCAAAACAATAAATATTTAGGAATACAAATAAAAAATAAAGTATATTATAATAATATTTTTTTTTTTGAGTTACAAGTTCATCAAATGTTTTGGTTGCATGCCGTAAACATCTGTTTTACAACGTGCTTTTATTGACTTTTCATGAAGAAGAGGTTCCGCAGTAGGAGCAACGCTCTTTCTGCTTTTTCTTACTTCTCTTCTACTTGAATTCAGAGCTCTATTGATTTCCATATCGCTAAGAATTATGTGGTCGAGGTATCCAATGTATGGCTGGCCATCCCACATGAAATCTGATTCATGACGTCCTCTAAATTCAAGAAGAGCGAGTTTGAGCTTCCTTTCAATACGTGGTAAGAGATTTCTGCATCTTCTTAAGTCATTTTCTTCTTTAACTTTGATACTTGGCTCTGTGAAATTGTTTTTAGATTTAGCTCTGACGTTTCTTGCATGTTCAATTGAGTTTTGCTCAAAAACAAGTGCTTCACGCTGCTCAATAAGATCAAAGAAACTAGATGCATCTGCTAATATTGATTTGAGCTTCAAAATTTCTTCCTGATAATCATTGAAAACTTCTTCCTTATTTGTAATGACTTTTGGATTGATTGTTATATCTACTGATGTTCCTACATGAAGTTTATCACAGAGTTGCTGAATTTCACTTTGTTGACGAGTGATAATTTCTGGAAGTTGTTGAATTCGTTGATTTTGAAGGCGTTTGAGTTCTTCCTTAGATGATTCAATATTAGAACGACTAAGAGTTGAATGAGTAGCAAAGAACTTATCTTGTTCGACTTTTGAAGTGTTTAATATTTGCCACATATAAATAATCTCTTGAGCAACATCTTTCAGATCTTTAATTCTATTTTCTCTTTCAGCATTTAAGTTCCTCATGTATTCATCTACCTTTTGCATTGATTCATTCGTAATGGAATCAGATAAGAAAAGATCATCAATTTCTTTTGGTATTTTCTCATCGAGTTCATTAAGTGTATCATTGATTGTTTTGAGATTTTCTGTCATTGTTGCAGTTCTGTTTTCAATTTCTTTGGCAAGTTCGCTATTCTTAGATTTGAAGCGATAATATCTTGCATCTGACAAATCTTTATCACCTACTGAAGTGAATTCACCTCTTTGCTCAGCTGGTACTCCGAGAATATCGAATTGACTTTCTATTTCTGTTTGCAATACTTGGAAACTTTGTATTTTATCTTTAAATTGATTCCTTAGTGCTAAATATTGAGCTAATATTTCATTATGACGTTGTCTTAATGATGTTTGAGGTAATTGAATTTCTGCTGATGGCTTCTGACCGACAGCCTGTTGAAGATTTCTGTAATTTTCTGTTAGTTGTTGGATTTTATCTTCAATATCTTTCTTTTCCTGTTGAACTTTCTGTAAATGAGTTGCAAGTACATTTAAAAGCTCTTCTTCAATTTGCTTTTTCTCCTTTTTAGTTTCAGACATTGTGTAGCCTATTTCATTCCATAGTTTGGTAATTTGATTTGAAGTTTCTGAGAGAAAAGATTCATTTTCAGTCATCACAACTAAATTTTTAAACGTGCACTCTCTATTTATTCGATTATTTAGTACAATATAGATCGACTACAGACAAAATGTACATTTTGAGCATTATTTTTAAGGGTTTGCAGGAAATAAAATTATATGATTTTTAATTCAAAGATAAATTGGCTCTTATAAGAACGCATTAATAAGCACACCGAAATAAAACAATGCTTATCATAATTTAAAAGTGATAAAAAAAATAAATAAAAAATATTTGGTAAAAAAACATCAATAATTGATCTTACATAACTTTAATAATAAGGTGTCTCAACTAATGGTTGATTGCTTTGGTTTGAGAAGGATTGAGAATATTCTGTATTTGGTTTCTTGTTTTCACCAAAGTAGTATTCATTAGAACCCTTAATATCAGGTGATTTTCTGATTTCAACTGTATCCATGCAGATACCAACCTCAGGAAGCCAGAAGAATATAATGCAATCACCTACAAAATCTCTTTTCGCATGAAGACGTTGACGTATAACTTGACGTGTCCAAAATGGTGAAGGAGCACATAAGCAATGGTGCAATTGACAATCTTGACCTTGCAAAGCAGCCCAGTTATGTCCATTTGCACAAAACGGACAGAAACATGAGTAACATGCCATATTAAGATCATTAATAACGTCTTCAGCACTGGCGTTTTTTACAGAGAATGTCATTTTAAGATTGACACTTTTAAAGGATTGAGTATGACGGAATTAAAATTGAATGCATTCAATTAAAATCAGATTGCTGAAACCTTATTAAAATTACTTATGGGTAACATTGGAGGAGAAAGTACTGAATTCTACGGATCCACCGAGAAATTACAATAATCTTATCAAAAGTCATCTAAAAGACTTCAAAATGTGAAGCCCCAATAGTATATCGGTTAGAACACATCCTTTACACGGATGGAAGGCCAGTTCGATTCTGGCTTGGGGCACTTTTTTTCTTCGTCTTTATTTTTTTCTTGAAAAATAATAAAAAAACTCTTGACTCGTTGAGTAAATGCCTTTTAAAGCTAATCATTTGAACACTTATGCGCCAAAACAAACTTTTATATCAACTAGGCCTAGAAAAATCTCCTTGAAACTCAAAATAAAAAAAAATTGAATTATTTAATAATAAATATTTATAACTCTATAATAATAAACAAGCAACAATGTATTTAAATACGATCCCACATCACTTCTTGGATAGGATGAGCAATTGTTTTTGGAATCGTAAAAACAATAATAAGGAAGATAAGAAGCATGATAAATCCGATAATAACGATCCTCTCATAAGTTATTCCTGCATCCATTAATGACCATTGGAAAAATTCTTGGTCTAATTCAAAAGGAGGTTCTGGAAAAGGAGGAAGATCAGATTTGAATGAATCTATACTTATCAGAACATTTCTAGCCTTTTCAAAACTAGAAAATAAGACTCTATATCCAGATTCTGATACTAAAGAGTGAATTCTGAGATTACAATCATTTGAATATGTAATTGACTTATCTGTTTCTCCAAAGAAGAAACTCTTTTCGAAAATTACTTCACCTGTCGATTGGAAGACAATATTTCTTCCATTTTGATCATTTTCAGCTACATTTTCATTGAAATATATACCAAATACTAATCCTTGTGATTTAATAACTACAATGCCAGGTAAAGAATCTTTTGCTTTGTTTTCATACAACTTAACATCTTTAACAGTGATATGTGAGTTGTGAAAGTACAAGGAACCTGATTTTTCGCAATAGCATTTTAATATAAATCCTCTTGTTACTGATACAACTGTATTGTTGAAATAAAATGCCGAACCGGAATCTGAGGAATTGCATCTAGCGGCTGAACAGTCTTCAAATGTTACTACACCACCATTTGCATAAACAGCGCCACCGCAATTTGAGGAAGATTTATAGAAGATACACGAAATTAAATTTATTTGGCTGTTTTCAACGAAGATGCTTCCGCCATTTTCATTCACAGATGTACACAAGTCGAATCTTGTTGAATCTAAAGTGATTTTAGTATTGGAATATCGTTTTCTTTTGACAGAATTCGGATGTGCAGCGTTATTTGTATGAATTTGGCGATTTAATTCATTAGCGAATGGACTTTTAAGATCTTTAATATGATTGTATGATATTTGCATTGGAATTTGTTGAATTATTGGAATTTGATTAATATTTAATTTGTTTTTTTCGAAATTTTCAGTTTTGCCTAGTTGGGACACTTGTTCTGATAGCAAAACTTCTTGCTTTTGGTATATTCTAAGAAAAACTATGAAAGAAATCATCGAAATAAAACTTTTTAATATATTTTGACACGTAAACTTCACTTTACATTTTTTAAAATAGCCAAACAAATAATTCCATTCATTTTTTTGACATGTTTCAAGGTGAGACTGTTACAAAGAAGGAGTGGGTAGATATATCAGAAGCACATGATGGAAAAGTCATGAAATGCACACTGAGGACCGGAAAAGGCGCTAGGCCTCGCAGATGCCAAAAAGTCGCAATTCATTATACAATGTCGCTCGAAAACGGGCCAAAAGTCTATTCAACACGCGATGAAGGCAAGCCATTTGACTTTACAGTAGGATCATGCGAAATTCCAGCATTTAATGCTGCTGCTTTGAATATGGTTGGAGGTGAACGAGCTGAATTAAAGATTGATTCATCAATGGGTTACGGTGAAGCTGGACATCCTCCAACAGTTCCACCAAACGCAAATCTCTTTGTTGAACTCGATTTATTATACATTCTCGAAGATATGCCAAAAGAAGAAGCCATCAAACAGGCAGAAGAAGTTAACAAACGTGCTGGTGAAGCATATCGTAACGAAAAATACGAAGAAGCTTCAGTTCTTTACCATGAATGCTGCCAAATCCTTCAATGCCATACTGGTGATGACTTAGATCTCTTATTCGATAAGTATCGCTCAAACCTTTCCACAGTTTACTCTAAATTAGGAAAATGGGGAGAATCAATGCATAATGCCGAAAGAATTCTTCAAAAGGACAAGACAAATCAACGCTGCATCCTTAGAAAGCTTGATGCGTTAATTCATCTCGGAAGACTTGAAGAAGCTGAAGAATATCTTAAGAAAGGCTTAGAATTATCAAATAACGATCCTGTATTTTCATCACGTACAAAAGATATTGAAAAAGCTAGCGCAGAAATGAAATCTGCACAAGAAAATGTATATAAGAAGATGGCAGGTAAGAAATTCTTCTAAATTGTTATAGGAATAAATGCATATGATATCATTCAATTTTTAATACTCTATGAGTTAGAATTTTATATAAAATACAAGTTTCGTAAATCGAAAATGAAAAAAATTGTTAAAATAGGTTTTAATCACTACATACCTGAAAAACAAGATGCAACAAATACCTATCTAAAATCCTTTTAAGTATAAATGATAATTATTATATTTTTATTCAAAATGAATGAATAATTCAACTTTTTAAGCATAAAACACAGTTTTCTCGAAAGGCAATGATGCCTAACTATTAATAAATATATTTAGTCGAATATTTTTTTGCTTGCAAAAGTCGCTTTGAAATTTTCACCAAAGCGGTTTCATCGGCACGATGAATTAAATGATTCTTACTGGGTACCAAATAATATTGTATCTTCACATCAAATTTCTTACAAATTTAATGCTATTAACATTCTCTCAAATTTCAAGGAGGCGGGTCAATTTTTATTTCATTGTGAAGTATCATATAATTCACATGATTTTAAGAGCACCTTAAACCAATGAAAAAATATATATTCAAAAAGTGAATCAACATTAACCAATCAACAAATGGTTTTTCGTTTCTTTGGTGTTTTATTAATATTATTAATAATTTCCTTTGAGAGTTTTATCATCGATTTATTTCAAATTTTTTTCTGAACCGATTATCGGCAATATTTAGTTTTATTAGGTACTTCTATATTTCTCCTTTTCAACCTTTTTCTTTATAAATATCGACCAACCCATTATAATTTGTTCAATTTTATTTCCCAAATGTTAATTCATTAAATTTTAGTGATAATTCGTATACACACTCTTTAAGCATGAATATTTTTATAATGGCCCAAGTATCTTTCTCAAAAAATAATTGTGAGAAAAAATTCTGTTCCTTCAAATATCTAATCGTTTTTTGAAACATATGGATATAATTCTCATCTTTTTAGTAGTTCATAAAAACAAAATAAGTTTAAAGATTGACGTAATTTTAATTTGAATGGTGTCAAAATTTATCGGAATTCTGGAAATTTTTCTCAACTCTTTTGCATCTATACTAACCAACTTACATTCTATGGAGAAACCATCAATCACGTTACCACCAATCTCAAATCTCATTGGAGTCGCCAAGCCAGAGCACCACACACTTGACTTTGATGCCCTCCTCAAGCCTGAAATTAAAAATGAAGGACCAAAAAAGATTAAGTTTGATAGAAATGAAGACATGATGCTTTATAACATCGTAACATCGAGACTATGCAGCAACTGGAATGAAGTAGCTGCACTCATGAGGACCAGATCTGCGAGACAATGTCGTGAGAGATGGAACAACTACTTAAATCCATTTCTCAGAAATGACCCATGGTCTCCACAAGAAGATGAACTTCTTCTTTCAAAGTTCAAAGAATTTGGACAAAAATGGAGGAAGATTTCTAAGTTCTTCGTGAACAGATCAGACAACGCTTTAAGAAACCGTTATTACGTTCTTGAGCGTAGAATCAATAAGTACCACACTTCCTCCCAGAACTCAGAAGAATCATCCAATTGATCAATTTTCATTGATGAATGTGATTTCATTGAAATTTTTGTATGAAATATTAGATAAATAAACTTTATGTATATACTATTGAATAAATTAACCTTCGTTTTTGGTATTTGACCTTTTGGCCATACAGACTAAAAGCGTGGGAACTAAAAAGCAGCTAACGAACTGAACTGTATGCATATACTGTGTTGATTATACATGTGATTACGTTAAATATTTAGGCAAATGTAATTTTCCAAAAATTTGTACATCCGTTTAGACTAGCTTCTATGCCAAAATGCTGCATTTATAATTTATACTTGAAATAACACTAAAAACTCTGATTAACTGAAACCTCGAAAATTTCATCTGAAACTTATCGAAGATTTTAACCTCATAATACGATAATTATTGAAGAACTTAATCATACTTTGCTAATTATCCCAAAATCTTTTATCATGCCACTTACAAGAACTGTTGGGATTTTGAATCTATAGAATATGAATGAAATTACTCTATTAGCTTTTGGAAGCAAGATGCATTTCGATAAAAAATGCTATGTCCAAGAAGCTGCTATGATTTAAACAAGATGAAAGGAGAGAAATTTTATTTTCACTATGAAGCACAAAGATTTTTCGGATTGAAATAATGTATATACAATTTAGAACATTAAAAAACTATTTTTGTCGCTAAAATGTTCTCGTTGCCCGTGTAAACTTTACATCATTTCACTTTCCGAAAATGACAATGGGTCTTGATATTACTAAGGAGGTTCGTAACGCATACGACGACCTCCATCACAGCCGTACACCAAACCATTCAATGATTATGGCTCCAAACGTTGAAAATCTTTCTGTCGAACTTCTCGAAGAATTCAAGGAAGGAATCACTCTTGATGATCTTGCTCAGAAGTTACCATCTGATCAGCCAAGATTTATTATCGCAATGCCCGAAAGGACTCACGCGGATGGTCGTAAATCATACCCAATTGTATTAATCGCTTACTGCCCTGCTGGACAGTCAGCCCAAACAAATATTGTTTACTCCAATGCTCGTAGCCAAATCGCTAAGGACTTCAACATTACTTATGTTTGGGAAATCAAGAAGCGTTATCAGCTCGGTGATGAAGAAATGGCTGAGAAGTTCACAACAAACAAGTGGTAAAGCGTTTCTTTTTTCGTCTATACAATAATATTAACAACTTTTTAAATGAAATTTACCTTTTTTTTTGTAAATGACTTTTTTTTTGTTTCCCTTCAATTTTGGTTTAGTTTATTTTGTTAAAGGGAAGATTATATGATGTAAAAATTCAAAATTATTCCGAATTTCCTGAGATTTATAATTTGCCAAGATTTACCCTATATTTCCAACTCTTGGAAAATTTTCATGACCCCCTACCCAGGGTCCTAAAATGGGTATTTTCCTCACACAGACACCGTGGTTTTTTGAGCCGGGAAATAAATAGCGCAGACAGTTTCTACATATAGAGACATGCTTATACTTAGAGTTTGACGGGAATCTAAAGTGATTTTTTTCTGCATCGCGAAATCTAATGCAATCTCAAAATCATAAAGAAACTGCGAATCGGAGCGCAATTTTTTAATATGTTAATATATAAAGGTACCCCTACTACTGCAAATGCTTCAAATGAAAATCTAAGAAATCAGATTAATTTGATCACATTAGTATAGTATTGGTCAAACCAAAAACTCATATGTTGATATATAGCCTATGGATATTCATATTCTCTACTTTTCATTGAATTACATAAGATTTAATAATCTCATAAATATTCTTTTTAATTTTCCGAATTCCGTGTGCATTTAGATTGCCCATACCTGTATATAATAATTCTAGAATGGTTTGGTTAGATATTAAGTTTTTTAGATTAATATTTTAACATTTTGATAAAACAAGCATTTGTTCCATTTTAGAATCGCCATTGAACTCTGGTTTGACTAACATGATGTTGTATGATCAAATAAATTCTAACTTCATGAGATAAATTTTGAAATTAGAAAATGCGATATCTGACTCAAATATTTATATGAACACATTTAACATTCAATGATAAACTAAAGTACTATACAGCAGATTCGATTTGGCTTATATTTTATATAATCAACTAATAATCCTATAAAATTGTGCTATTCACGTTGCTCAAAGATGTATTGAACATTCACTACTTGTGTATTGATAAAATTAGATATAGATTCTAATGTAAATCGATATTTTGAAAATTCATATATATTTTGTCTTGGTTTGGCATTTGATCGTGTTGAAACCGGAATTGCAATATATATCATCTAAATATATAACTATCAAAATATGAGCTATAGATTTTTAAATTATTCTCCTGAATATGAGTGACTAACATAATTATATTGAATTGAGTAGTAAGAATCTTAAATATTAGAATCTGACGATAATTTATTATAACTGTATAAAGGAACAAGACTATAAATGATGATGAAAATAAAGATTAAATTTAAATCTGAAAATTTGAAAACATTAAGTGTATTGTACACTCTTGTCGGTCACAGTGTCTCATTCCGGGAGACATTTCTCTGAATGTCTCCCAGAATGAGACAATCCCATTCATAATTGAATTGCAAAACTTTGAGCGACAAGAGTGTATTGTGCACTCTTGTCGGTCACAGTGTCTCATTCCGGGAGACATTGCCTCTGAATGTCTCCCAGAATGAGACAATCTTCTGCAATCAGAATGTGATTGCAAAACTTTGAGCGACAAGAGTGTATTGTGCACTCTTGTCGGTCACAGTGTCTCATTCCGGGAGACATTGCCTCTGAATGTCTCCCAGAATGAGACAATCTTCTGCAATCAGAATGTGATTGCAAAACTTTGACCGACAAGAGGTGTATTGTGCACTCTTGTCGGTCACAGTGTCTCATTCCGGGAGACATTGCCTCTGAATGTCTCCCAGAATGAGACAATCTTCTGCAATCAGAATGTGATTGCAAAACTTTGAGCGACAAGAGTGTATTGTGCACTCTTGTCGGTCACAGTGTCTCATTCCGGGAGACATTGCCTCTGAATGTCTCCCAGAATGAGACAATCTTCTGCAATCAGAATGTGATTGCAAAACTTTGAGCGACAAGAGTGTATTGTGCACTCTTGTCGGTCACAGTGTCTCATTCCGGGAGACATTGCCTCTGAATGTCTCCCAGAATGAGACAATCTTCTGCAATCAGAATGTGATTGCAAAACTTTGAGCGACAAGAGTGTATTGTGCACTCTTGTCGGTCACAGTGTCTCATTCCGGGAGACATTGCCTCTGAATGTCTCCCAAATGAGACAATCTTCTGCAATCAGAAATGTGATTGCAAAACTTTGAGCGACAAGAGTGTATTGTGCACTCTTGTCGGTCACAGTGTCTCATTCCGGGAGACATTGCCTCTGAATGTCTCCCAGAATGAGACAATCTTCTGCAATCAGAATGTGATTGCAAAACTTTGAGCGACAAGAGTGTATTGTGCACTCTTGTCGGTCACAGTGTCTCATTCCGGGAGACATTGCCTCTGAATGTCTCCCAGAATGAGACAATCTTCTGCAATCAGAATGTGATTGCAAAACTTTGAGCGACAAGAGTGTATTGTGCACTCTTGTCGGTCACAGTGTCTCATTCCGGGAGACATTGCCTCTGAATGTCTCCCAGAATGAGACAATCTTCTGCAATCAGAATGTGATTGCAAAACTTTGACGACAAGAGTGTATTGTGCACTCTTGTCGGTCACAGTGTCTCATTCCGGGAGACATTGCCTCTGAATGTCTCCCAGAATGAGACAATCTTCTGCAATCAGAATGTGATTGCAAAACTTTGACGACAAGAGTGTATTGTGCACTCTTGTCGGTCACAGTGTCTCATTCCGGGAGACATTGCCTCTGAATGTCTCCCAGAATGAGACAATCTTCTGCAATCAGAATGTGATTGCAAACTTTGACGACAAGAGTGTATTGTGCACTCTTGTCGGTCACAGTGTCTCATTCCGGGAGACATTGCCTCTGAATGTCTCCCAGAATGAGACAATCTTCTGCAATCAGAATGTGATTGCAAAACTTTGACGACAAGAGTGTATTGTGCACTCTTGTCGGTCACAGTGTCTCATTCCGGGAGACATTGCCTCTGAATGTCTCCCAGAATGAGACAATCTTCTGCAATCAGAATGTGATTGCAAAACTTTGAGCGACAAGAGTGTATTGTGCACTCTTGTCGGTCACAGTGTCTCATTCCGGGAGACATTGCCTCTGAATGTCTCCCAGAATGAGACAATCTTCTGCAATCAGAATGTGATTGCAAAACTTTGAGCGACAAGAGTGTATTGTGCACTCTTGTCGGTCACAGTGTCTCATTCCGGGAGACATTGCCTCTGAATGTCTCCCAGAATGAGACAATCTTCTGCAATCAGAATGTGATTGCAAAACTTTGAGCGACAAGAGTGTATTGTGCACTCTTGTCGGTCACAGTGTCTCATTCCGGGAGACATTGCCTCTGAATGTCTCCCAGAATGAGACAATCTTCTGCAATCAGAATGTGATTGCAAAACTTTGAGCGACAAGAGTGTATTGTGCACTCTTGTCGGTCACAGTGTCTCATTCCGGGAGACATTGCCTCTGAATGTCTCCCAGAATGAGACAATCTTCTGCAATCAGAATGTGATTGCAAAACTTTGAGCGACAAGAGTGTATTGTGCACTCTTGTCGGTCACAGTGTCTCATTCCGGGAGACATTGCCTCTGAATGTCTCCCAGAATGAGACAATCTTCTGCAATCAGAATGTGATTGCAAAACTTTGAGCGACAAGAGTGTATTGTGCACTCTTGTCGGTCACAGTGTCTCATTCCGGGAGACATTGCCTCTGAATGTCTCCCAGAATGAGACAATCTTCTGCAATCAGAATGTGATTGCAAAACTTTGAGCGACAAGAGTGTATTGTGCACTCTTGTCGGTCACAGTGTCTCATTCCGGGAGACATTGCCTCTGAATGTCTCCCAGAATGAGACAATCTTCTGCAATCAGAATGTGATTGCAAAACTTTGAGCGACAAGAGTGTATTGTGCACTCTTGTCGGTCACAGTGTCTCATTCCGGGAGACATTGCCTCTGAATGTCTCCCAGAATGAGACAATCTTCTGCAATCAGAATGTGATTGCAAAACTTTGAGCGACAAGAGTGTATTGTGCACTCTTGTCGGTCACAGTGTCTCATTCCGGGAGACATTGCCTCTGAATGTCTCCCAGAATGAGACAATCTTCTGCAATCAGAATGTGATTGCAAAACTTTGAGCGACAAGAGTGTATTGTGCACTCTTGTCGGTCACAGTGTCTCATTCCGGGAGACATTGCCTCTGAATGTCTCCCAGAATGAGACAATCTTCTGCAATCAGAATGTGATTGCAAAACTTTGAGCGACAAGAGTGTGTTATCCACACTATTTGTTTATATACTATGTTTTTAGATCAAACCCTTTACATACAATTGTTCAAATATAATTTTCTCCATTTAATATTTATTTTATATTTTTTGTGCTTTATATAACTTATGGCGTCTACCGAACTATTTTACAGACTCTTCTGAGCTCTTCCCACATATAAACATGTGACAATAACACATACATACTCCCTTCATATTCTGATCTCATGACATATTACCCCAAAAACTATATTTATACAACACACCTCATAAAGTCTCATTTTACACCTATCTAAGCGTTCAGGTTCCGCTGATTCGATTTCTGCTGTCAGATCGTGAAAATATGCATCACATAACAAGATAAACGCAAATTACCTAACTTAATATTTTCCATAAAATTTCTCTTGAAGTTCATCCTCTAAAAACATCATTTTTCAAAAATTTAAATTTTTCAAAAAATGAATGAATTTAAAAGTTTAGATCATATCTAGTCATTACCTAATATTAATTTTGTATTTTAGTTTTTGAGATATTCATTTTACTATACGTATTATTCAGAAAATTAAATATATTTGTGGGGAAAAATGGAAGATATAATAAATGTTTTCATATCGATGAATAGGTAATTTGAAGAAAAAATAATGAATTTTGAACGCTTAGATAGGTGTAAAATGAGACTTTATGAGGTGTGTTGTATAAATATAGTTTTTGGGGTAATATGTCATGAGATCAGAATATGAAGGGAGTATGTATGTGTTATTGTCACATGTTTATATGTGGGAAGAGCTCAGAAGAGTCTGTAAAATAGTTCGGTAGACGCCATAAGTTATATAAAGCACAAAAAATATAAAATAAATATTAAATGGAGAAAATTATATTTGAACAATTGTATGTAAAGGGTTTGATCTAAAAACATAGTATATAAACAAATAGTGTGGATAACACACTCTTGTCGCTCAAAGTTTTGCAATCACATTCTGATTGCAGAAGATTGTCTCATTCTGGGAGACATTCAGAGGCAATGTCTCCCGGAATGAGACACTGTGACCGACAAGAGTGCACAATACACTCTTGTCGCTCAAAGTTTTGCAATCACATTCTGATTGCAGAAGATTGTCTCATTCTGGGAGACATTCAGAGGCAATGTCTCCGGAATGAGACACTGTGACCGACAAGAGTGCACAATACACTCTTGTCGCTCAAAGTTTTGCAATCACATTCTGATTGCAGAAGATTGTCTCATTCTGGGAGACATTCAGAGGCAATGTCTCCCGGAATGAGACACTGTGACCGACAAGAGTGCACAATACACTCTTGTCGCTCAAAGTTTTGCAATCACATTCTGATTGCAGAAGATTGTCTCATTCTGGGAGACATTCAGAGGCAATGTCTCCCGGAATGAGACACTGTGACCGACAAGAGTGCACAATACACTCTTGTCGCTCAAAGTTTTGCAATCACATTCTGATTGCAGAAGATTGTCTCATTCTGGGAGACATTCAGAGGCAATGTCTCCCGGAATGAGACACTGTGACCGACAAGAGTGCACAATACACTCTTGTCGCTCAAAGTTTTGCAATCACATTCTGATTGCAGAAGATTGTCTCATTCTGGGAGACATTCAGAGGCAATGTCTCCCGGAATGAGACACTGTGACCGACAAGAGTCCACAATACACTCATTTAAATCCAAATTCCTTTAAATTCTATTATGTAACATCTCCTATTTTAAACAATCCATTCCATTCTAATAACTAATGATATCCATATACATGGATATCATATCCATTACTCAATTAGCTTACTTAACTTTATTTCCAAAAAAAAAAACTTTGATACAAATACATTTATTCATTATGATCATTACCTTTCACATATAAAGAAATAAACTGATTTCCGATTGCATTTTCTTTGTCCATCTCGCGTACCCATTGATTTGTAATTCTTACAAATTTACCTTCAAGATCCAATCTTCTATAAAATTTAAAATATGGTGATCCATTTCTTGCAATTTCTAATGAAATGATAGCAAAACGAATATAAATGCTACCATCGGAAAACTCCAATATGTCGGGTTGCGCATCTTGGGATTGTTGATTGCTTCCTATGAACAAATATTTGCTCATCTTAATAATTTTCTTTTCCTTAATGAAATCTTTAAAATCTCCGTCATCTGGAAGTTTCAACATTTTGACAAGTTGAACAGTGTTATTTTCATCAATATATACAATACCGCATAGATCTGGGCTGAAGAAATGTGTGATAAACAGCCTTGGATCGCCCTGTTCACGGAAATCGAGATCCTGATAGAACTGTCCTGGAGAAACCCTGACTGATCTGCCCATTCGTAGAAGAATTTCCATGAATCTGAGGACATCTGTGTAAACATCATCACTTTCAATATGAAACAATTTAAATACATCATTAATATCTTCGGGATTATAGGCCTCTAATGTGAGTATTGTAAATAGCATTTGTAAACTTACGTTCAATGAAGATCGTTCATCATTTAAACGTATTTCAAGGCCATTAACGTGATCGACACTGTGGTTTTTTTTAGTTCTCCTATCCGCGAATTCTTTGAGATATTTCGCTTGAGAAAAGCAAATTGCTTCAAACTGCGGAGCCTTATCTACGCAATTGATAAAGGAGGCACCTCCTCTTGCCATTGAGCAGAATATCTGATCTGGAAGGTGTGATGGAGGATCTTCGACTTCAACAGGAATTGGTGAAAAAGCATCAGCGATATTACCAGGTTCGTAATCCGACGGAGGATCAACTGAACTCTCATCCTCAGTTGAATTGAGGTCGTATTCATCAATGAAGTCCAAGTCATCATCACTGAATCCGTCAAGATCTGCTTCAGGATGCCACTCTTCATCATCATCATCGAAGTCGATTTCTCCTTCTTGCCTGCGATATCTTCTTTCAGGAATTTCACTAAAGTCTCGGAGCATATCCAGATTCTCACCTTGTGGTAATGCTTGCTCGGCTTTGTGTATGTATTCTTCCCTGACTTGTTCGATCTTCTCAAGAAATTCGGCAGCTTGCTCATCAGTAACTTTGCTGAGAATTCTTTCATTTTCTCTGAGATCAGCCTCATGCATATTCCATGCTTCGATAATGAGGTTTTCATCGAGACATTTCCAGCATTGGACCAAGATATACACAGCCATTTTCAGTGTGCACACTAAGGTTTGATCGATGGCATAGAAATCCACCACATTCGAGTCGCCATGTTTTTGAGAGCGCCAAAAACCTTCACGTCGAGTGGCTGGCAAAGATCTGTACAACCAACTGGAATGTAAACAAGATCAATGTTGAGTTCTTTTGCCAGGTCCTTCGTCTCCTTGTTCCTGTGGCTGGAGTAAGTGTCGAGGAATAAAATAATTTTGTTATTCCTCCTATAACTTTCATTGTCGCCAAACGCTTGATCATACCAGTCGCGAACCCATTCGAGGTAAGATTTGAAAACCTCATGGGTAGACCATCCTGATTCGGAATGAAGGATCTTTTCATTGCTGATGATCCGGTCGTCGCTCACTTGTTGATGGCACCTGTCTGTCAATCCTTTGCACACAATTGTCAAAGGAAGTTTTCTTCCATCAGCTGTGATGGTTGCAATGATTGTAACACCCTTCTTTTGGTTGTGGTGAATGTGTATATCGACTCCTTCTGATCCTTTAATAGCATAAGTAAGACCGCCTGCAATGCCGCATCCATAGAAAGATTCATCTGCATTTGCGAGCCGCCAAAGCTCGTCTTTGAATCTTTCAAAGAGTTCCGCTTTAATTTCATTGAATTGTTGTATCCGCTCTTGCATTTCTTCTTTATCTTGAGGTCTTCTGTGCCAATGTGCCTTTCTTGTTGTCAGATTTTGCCGCTCTCTAAAGTTCACAAGATAATGAGGAGATATTTCGAAATTCTCTTTTTTCAAAACATGTTCAGTGTAAGCATCTTTAAACATTTCCACAATTACTCGGCACATTTGTGTATTGAAAAAAAAACTTTTTTTCAATAAATTCTGTGATAATGTAGTTGGCTATCAAGAGCTCTCCTTCGTCATCAATAGCTCTGTTAACAAGTAACTGTGCCGTTTTTGGGTTGAATTTTTCATCTTCCAGGTAAGCATTTCTATAATTATACAAGGTAGAGCGAGATATATTTGTAATGGTGACAATTTGATCAATAAGATTTCCGTATGATTCGTCAAAACTAGCTTTTATAAGATCCATTAAAACTTCGACTTTTTTATCGCTCAGAGTTGCCGCATTGAATCTTGGGTCAGGAACTAATTTGCCGAGGAATTTTAATTTTTCTTTGATATCTGGCGGAAGATCTTCTCTTATTAGATGGTCTATGTCAGTCATTAAAAATTTGTCTTGTCACTTTTTTATTTTTTTTATTCTTTTGACAATCTGACTGTAATGCATGAAAATTCGGTTCACTTCATTTTTGACACTTTACATATCGGATGTATTATCTAAGAATTATATTATAAAATAATAATTTTGTGTTTTATAAGTTTATTTGTATAAATTGATTCAAAAAAATGGAAAGACAAGAAGTGGATCTGCCAAATGAAAATCAGATTTATAGTTTTAGAGAGTTACATACATGAAATATGAAAATTGAACTTTGTATACGGAATTGTTGGCTATGATGTACTGATCATGAATCAGTACATCATAGCCAACAATTCCTTCGCAAACAGCGGGAAACTTTGTCTGAATAGTTTAACATTCAGACAAAGTTTCCCGCTGTCAGGGAGGGAATTAGAGGGTAAGAGGTATATATTCATAATGTATACCTCTTACCCTTTCATTCCCTCGAGAAAGTTCAAAAACTTGGGTGCAATCAGTTCTGATTGCACCCAAGTTTTTGAACTTTGTATACGGAATTGTTGGCTATGATGTACTGATCATGAATCAGTACATCATAGCCAACAATTCCTTCGCAAACAGCGGGAAACTTTGTCTGAATAGTTTAACATTCAGACAAAGTTTCCCGCTGTCAGAGAGGGAATGGAAGGGTAAGAGGTATATATTCATAATGTATACCTCTTACCCTTTCATTCCCTCGAGAAAGTTCAAAAACTTGGGTGCAATCAGAACTGATTGCACCCAAGTTTTTGAACTTTGTATACGGAATTGTTGGCTATGATGTACTGATCATGAATCAGTACATCATAGCCAACAATTCCTTCGCAAACAGCGGGAAACTTTGTCTGAATAGTTTAACATTCAGACAAAGTTTCCCGCTGTCAGAGAGGGAATGGAAGGGTAAGAGGTATATATTCATAATGTATACCTCTTACCCTTTCATTCCTCGAGAAAGTTCAAAAACTTGGGTGCAATCAGTTCTGATTGCACCCAAGTTTTTGAACTTTGTATACGGAATTGTTGGCTATGATGTACTGATCATGAATCAGTACATCATAGCCAACAATTCCTTCGCAAACAGCGGGAAACTTTGTCTGAATAGTTTAACATTCAGACAAAGTTTCCCGCTGTCAGGGGGGAATTAGAGGGTAAGAGGTATATATTCATAATGTATACCTCTTACCCTTTCATTCCCTCGAGAAAGTTCAAAAACTTGGGTGCAATCAGTTCTGATTGCACCCAAGTTTTTGAACTTTGTATACGGAATTGTTGGCTATGATGTACTGATCATGAATCAGTACATCATAGCCAACAATTCCTTCGCAAACAGCGGGAAACTTTGTCTGAATAGTTTAACATTCAGACAAAGTTTCCCGCTGTCAGAGAGGGAATGGAAGGGTAAGAGGTATATATTCATAATGTATACCTCTTACCCTTTCATTCCCTCGAGAAAGTTCAAAAACTTGGGTGCAATCAGAACTGATTGCACCCAAGTTTTTGAACTTTGTATACGGAATTGTTGGCTATGATGTACTGATCATGAATCAGTACATCATAGCCAACAATTCCTTCGCAAACAGCGGGAAACTTTGTCTGAATAGTTTAACATTCAGACAAAGTTTCCCGCTGTCAGAGAGGGAATGGAAGGGTAAGAGGTATATATTCATAATGTATACCTCTTACCCTTTCATTCCCTCGAGAAAGTTCAAAAACTTGGGTGCAATCAGTTCTGATTGCACCAAGTTTTTGAACTTTGTATACGGAATTGTTGGCTATGATGTACTGATCATGAATCAGTACATCATAGCCAACAATTCTTCCCAAACAACCCGAAATTTGTCTGATTCCACACTAATTTTATTAATTTATCTAAACTTTTATCTCTTGTTCTAGATAAATTATCATCAATAATAATCTCTTGTTCTATTTCACTATTATATATATATATATTTATATGATTTGATTTAAAAAAAAAATAAATAATTAATAAATCATTTACTCAATATATCAAAAGTTTTATTTTTATATATAAAGATAACTACTTTTAAAAAAAAATACCCTATATATTTTTGCCATGTAAACTTGTCACTTTTGTCAGAAGTGAAGTGAACCGAATTTTCATGCACAACATGTAGTTGTCAGAACGTCAGAAGCTCATATGCAAGATACAGAATATTTTGACGACTTAGCAGAAACTTTGACATCTGACTTTTACAACCACTTGTTCTCATATTTCATGACATTAGATATTTCTAAGTTCAATCCAAGACAAATTCCACATACCGAAGAAAGACAAACATTGTTAGAAGCAAACAAGAGTGTATATGAACTGTTTATAGATGAGACTAACTTTGTGTCATTAGATGAAAGGTCATTGTACGATGAATATAAACAATATTGTCAAGAATATGGTTATATGACAGCTTCTAAACGTACATTCTTGGCAAATGTCAAAAATCTTTTCGAAGTTCAGAACGGCGTATATACAAAGAAAAATTTTTCTGAGTAAATTTTAAAAACAGTATTTTTTTATTTTATTTGAAATGTACGCTGAGTTTGTTGGAGAAGACCGTTGGGAAACTTGTTTGTTAGATGAGAAATATGAAATTCACTGTTGTGAGTCATTTGAAGTCAGAAACAAAAAGACAAAAAGAGTTTTAAGCGGATGGGAGGGAAATGACGGATATGCTATGATGAAGATGGGTGGGAAAAACTATTTAAAACATGTTGTCATTGCAACTCATTTTATACCGAACTCTAACAATTTACCTTTTGTAGACCATATAAACCATATAAGAAACGACAATAGACTTGAAAACTTGCGTTGGGTTACTCGTTCTGAAAACAAATAGAACAAAGGCAAATTTGGAGATATAGTATTCGAATTTGTCGACGAACTAGAAGATGAAACAATTGAAATTACAGACTATGGTAAGCATACGTTTGAGTTTTACTACTATAGCGAAGAACAAGACTCTTTCTACTTTTATACCGGCGTAAACTATAGAAAATTACAAGTATATTTTACTAAGGCAGGCTATGCTTATGTAAACACTAGAGATACAGATGGAAAACACGTTCGAATACTTCTTAACAAATTCAAGAAGCTATATGGCATACCATTTTAAAACGTTTTAAAAAAAAAATATTTTTTATCCGATAGAAAAGATGACGAAATTCATCTCAGTAAACAAGTACATGTCAGGACTTAAAGAAGAACTAGACCCATTCACATATTTGAATGTTTACTTCTACCATTTTGAAAAGTCTTCATTCAGCAAAGTTTGGAACATCGAACCAGTTAAGTTTGCTATTGTGACTAAAAATGGTGCGAAATTTGAAGACTTAGACATAGAAGGTTTGTTAGCAGTCAAAGAAAGTTTTGACAGAAGGTTTTCAAACCTTAAAGAAGGCAAAGCATACAAACTTGTTATACCTTATGAACCAAAGAAAGCAGACGACTATGAATATTATGAGTCTAAGATAGTTGAAGTTCAAGGTAAATTGGGTAAAAAGATTTTAGAGTCTAAGCCAGTGTTTGCTCCTAAAGAGGAAGAGAACATTGACATTGACCCAGAAATGTTCTAAAAATAAAATTTTATTTTTACATGTCAAATTTCTTTTTCTCTGGTTCAGGTTCTTTCTTCTCTTCTTCTACTTTTTTCTCTTTCTTTCCTTTCTTCTTCTTTTCTGGTGGAGTTATGTCAAATTTCTCAGAACCATATTTCTGTAAAAGTTCTTTGTCCTGTAATAGCTCATCTATTCTGTTTTCTATTTCATCTTCAAGAACAGCGCATGTGTCTTCTTTGCATTCTAAGAACTTTTGTTGGACTTCATCTTTCCAATCGGTGTCATCTCTGTCAACAAGTCTGTCATTGACAAATTTTAAGACTGCTCTGCTTAATGTTTTATGGTTCTTGTCATATTCCCAGAAACAGAACTTTAGAACAAATTCACCTTTCTTGTTTACACTATGTAAGATTTTATGGTCGACAGATGTTTTGCTGTCGAAAAGTTTGTCTCGAATATAGATAGCGAAATCGCTAGACATTTTCAAAAAGATAAAAATTTTAATTTTTCTAAAAATATGTTAGAAAAAAAGTTTGCTGACATTGACAAGAAATTTGAGAATGTTTTAAACAAGAACAAGGTGAAGTTAGAAAATGCTCAGATAAAGCCTATACATGACAAGTTCTTATTTGCTCAGAATGGTATAACAGGTCTAATTGCACCACCTGGGTCGGGTAAGACTTTCACTTATCTTAAAATGGCTGCACAACAACAAGAACTAGATGAGAAGAACCCATTCTATGAGTTAGTTGTTATTTGTAGTACTTCTGGTCAATTTGACCAAACCGTCAATTCGTTCAAAGATATTATAAAGAAGTCTAAGTTAGTATGTATAAAGGATACTGAGTTGTTAGATTGGATAAAGAAGTAC